CGGGGGTCTGGGAAGCGGGGCGGAGCGGCGAGGGGTGGTGGTCAGACGGAGGCGGTCCTAAGGGAGCACCACCAGGCCCGAGCAGGAGCTTGCGCAGGTCCGAGTCTCCAGCGCGACTTGTGATCGGATCGCCAGGTGTCCGCGGAAGGGGAGGGGGAGCCGCGCCCATCCTCGGGAGATCTTGCTTCTTTCTGCGCACTCTTCTGGAACTCAGAGGGGGGCGAGCGCCTACAGCGCACAGGCAGCGCGGTCATCGACATCGACTCTTTGGCTCCAGTGAGCGAACGCACGAATCGTCCGGGCCTAGCTGAGACCAGGTGGGGGAGGCCATGGCCTTTTGAAAAGCACAAAACATGCAGCGTGACTGGTAAACAAACAGTGTTAGCCAGCGTGGACCCAAAACAGTGTGATCATGGCAAGACGTGTTGTGCAATATATGTGGTGCAATATATGTTGTGCAAGCTGGGCTGAGCAGTAAAAGTGGTGCGGTCCATGAGGTACGATACATATCTACAGAGAAATGGATAAATAAACATGTTGTGCAATATATGCGGAACAATAGTGTAGTGCAATATATGTGGCGCAAAAAATGTTGTACAGTATACGGTGTGCCATCTATGTTGTGCACTCTATGTGGTGCGATCTATGTGGTGCAAATGATTTTTACCAATGATGTGACACATCCCATACTCTTGCAAACATCCCACCCACCCACCCACCCGCAACTTGGTTTGCAAAACCTCTAAAGACCGACTACGACGACACCGACGACAACAACTACGACGACACCGACGACGTCTCCGACGACTTCGACGACGACAACGACGCCGGCGCCGACGACGACGAAGACGACGACACCAACGAAGACGACGACGAGGGAGGAGGAAGGACGACGACGGCGACAACGACGACAACGACGACAACGACGAGGGAGGAGGGAGGACGGCGACGACGCGAACGACGAAGGAGGAAGGACGGCGACGCCGACGACGACAACGACGAGGGAGGAGGGAAGACGACGACGACAACGACGACGACGACGACGGCGACGAAATAGGAGGGACGACGACGAGACGCCGACGACGGACGCTGACGACGACGAGGGAGGAGGAGGAAGGACGACCACGGCGACAACGACGACGGAAACGACCACGACGCCAAAGAGGACGACGACGACGAACACGAGGAAAGACAGAGGACGACGTAGGCGACGACGACGACGACGACGACGGGGAGGAGGGAGGACGGCGACGACGACGACGACGACGACGACGACGCAAGAGCGCGCGCGCGCACGCTGTTGTTGAAAATCCGTGTTGCGAAACCTTGTGTTTTTGTAGGTTTTTTGGACACACGATTTTGAAATCCTTCCGAAACCGATGGGTTTTGAAGGTTTTCGGCATACGCGCGCGACGACGCGCGCGTCTGCACTTCGTCCCATTTTTTGCAGAGGATTCTCGCGACGGCACACGCGCAAGGGCGTTCGACAGATTTCGACATGCGCGCGCGCGAAGCCCGTTTGGTAGCATGTTGTGAAAATCTTGAAAAACCTATGGTTTTCTTAAGATTTCGCAAGAGCTCGCGCGTAAGCTGTTTTAGCAAATCAGTGTTGCGAACCCCTGTATTTTTGTATGTTTTAGGGGGAAATTCGATTGCGAAATCCTTCCGACACCGAAGGTTTTTGAAGGACTTCGGCATGCGCGCGCGGCGACGCGCGCGTGCGCACTTCGTCCCACTTTTTGCAAGGGATTCGTGAAAAACTGTTATGTCAGAACAGAAAATGTCACCGCATAGTGTTTTTTACAAGGGAACCTCAGGGGGGGGTACCGGCCCCCCTGGGATAGTGCAAATTCACATTTAGGATGGACATGTGGTCAGAATCATATATGATTTACATACCCGAAAAGTGAACCGATAACGCCCGGGGGGGGTAGATCCTATTCTGGTTTTAGATAGGAAAATTAATTTGAAAATTAATTTCTGTTCGCAAGGAGTTGTCCACTCCACTGCTCGCGCAAACATCCCACCCACCCACCCGCAACTTGGTTTGCAAAATCTCTTAAGGCCGTGACGGTGGGTACCAAATGGCACTTGGCAGCGACAGCGACGCCGACGACGACAGCGACAACGACGACGACGACGCCGCCGACAACGACTACGACGACACCGACGACGTCTCCAACGACTTCGACGACGCCGACAACGACGACGACGACGACGACGACGACGACGACGACACTGACGACGACGACGAGACGCCGACGCCGACGCCGACGACGACGACGACGATGACAACGACGACGACGATGACGACGCCGACGACGACGACGACAACGACGACGACGACGACGACGACGACGACGACGTCAACGACGCCGACGACGCCGACGACGACGACGACGACGACGACGGCGACGACGACGACGCCGAGGTCGACGACAACGAAGACGACGACGACGCCGACGCCGACGACGACGACAAAGACGACGACGACGACGTCGCCAACGAAGACGACGGCGAGCGAGGAGGGAGGACGACGACGGCGACAACGACGACAACGACAACAACGACGAGAGAGGAGGGAGGAGGGCGACGACGCGAACGACGAAGAAGGAGGAAGGACGGCGACGCCGACGACGACAACGACGAGGGAGGAGGGAAGACGACGACGACGACAACGACGACGACGACGATGACAACGACGACGACGGCGACGAAATAGGAGGGACGACGACGAGACGCCGACGACGGACGACGACGACGACGAGGGAGGAGGAGGAAGGGCGACCACGGCGACAACGACGACGGAAACGACCACGACGCCAAAGAGGACGACGACGACGAACACGAGGAACGACAGAGGACGACGTAGGCGACGACGACGACGACGACGACGACGCGGGAGGAGGGAGGACGGCGACGACGACGACGACGACGACGACGACGACGACGACGACGATGCAAGAGCGCGCGCGCACGCTTTTGGTGAAAATCCGTGTTGCGAAACCTTGTGTGTTTGTAGGTTTTTGTTGGGCACGCGATGGTGAAATCCTTCCGAGGCCGACGGGTTTTGAAGGATTTCGGCATGCGCGCGCGACGCCGACGCGCGTCTGCACTTCGTCCCCTTTTTTGCTGAGGATTCTCGCGACGGCACACGCGCAAGGGCGTTCGACAGATTTCGACATGCGACCGCGCGAAGCCCGCTTGGTAGCATGTTGTGAAAACCTTGGAAAACCCATGGTTTGCTTGAGATTTTGGAAGAGCTCGCGCGGAAGCTGTTTTAGCAAATCAGTGTTGCGAAACCCTGTGTTTTTTGCATGTCTTTTGGAAATTCGATTGCGAAATCCTTCCGGCACCGAAGGTTTTGAAGGATTTCGGCATGCGCGCGCGACGACGCGCGGGTGCGCACTCCGTCCCATTTTTTGTAAGGGATTCGCGAAAAAGTTCTATGTCCCCGCGTATTGTTTTTTTCACCAGGGAACCTCAGGGGAACCGTTACCGGCCCCCCTGGGATAGTGTAAATTCATAGTTAGGATGGACATGTGGTCAGAATCATACATGATTTACGTAACCGAAAGGGGGGGGCGGATAACGCCAGGGGGGGTAGAGTCTATTCTCTTTTTAGAGAAGAGAATCTATGTGGTGACCATCTATGCTTTGGAATCGATTGCAATCGATTGGCTTGCAATCGATTGGGTTGCAAGCGATTTCCATTGCAAACCGATTGGGCTGCAGTGCGCAAGCTGCGGAAGCCCGAGCACTGCATCAACTGCGACTCGCCCAAGCCGAGAAGGCCATGGCGCTGGTCGCTGATCGCGAGCACCAGTGGACTACCCTGGCTTGCGAGGCCGACCAAGCGGCAGCAGCCGGAGATCTCCGCAAGACCTACTCGATCGTCCGTCGACCCGGAGGCTTTTCTCCGTCCGCTCTGCCAGGCACTCGCCTGGCCAACGGTGAGTTCGCAGCCTCTGCGGAGCAGGCACAGGAGCGGTGGGAGCCCTTCTCCGCCGAGCTCCTGATTGGCGAGTTGCAGCAGGACGTACACGTCGTTCATTTCTAATCGTGTTCATTTCTAATTGTGCTCGTTTCCGATTGTTCCTGGCCCCCTAGTGGCCAGGAAGAGGCCCAGGATAGAACAACCAAAAATGCAAGGATCTTGCCCCCAGAGAAAAATCAGAGAACCTTCGAAGAATGAGACATGAAGCACGTGTACCGCAGCCACCGCCTCCGCCACAGCCCGATCCGCAACCGCTTCGCGATCCTCCTCCTCCTCTCCTCCTCCTCCTCCTCCTCCTCCTCCTCCTCCTCCTCCTCCTCCTCCTCCTCCTCCTCCCCTCCTCTCCTCCTCCTCCTCCTCCTCCTCCTCCTCCTCCTCCTCCTCCTCCCCCTCCTCCCCCTCCTCCTCCTCCTCCTCCTCCTCCTCCTCCAATGGTGTCCCAGTGGCATGGCGCGGGGGAAGGTCAGCCAAACCCTTGCAAGGAAAGGGCGGCACGGCAGAGTGCGACACGTGCCGCGGGCTCCTGGCGGGCGATCACACTTCGAAAATCTTCACGGGCGTCCCGTGCACTTCTGTTCAGCGCCGTGTCGAGGAAGCACTACCTCCGCAGCAGTGCGGTGGGGTGGCGTGCTCCGGGGCCAATCGTGGCCACCACGCCGTGTCTAGCTTCCGTCGAGAGAACCACCATCGAGAACAGGCCCGCTGCCATTCTGTTCCTGGACCTCATGAAGGCTTTCGACAAGCTTGTACTCGAAATGGCCTTTCACCTTGAAGCTGGCTCCACCACCGAGGCGGGCCTGACGGCGCAGCTCCAGCAAGTGGGGGTTGACGACACGGCAGCCTCGCACCTGGCCAACTACCTCATGAAGCCACGGTGGCATCTTGCAGCAGATCGAAGTCCCCTCGAACCGCATCAGCTTAGTGGCCAACCTGCATAAGGATGCCTAATTCGCGCTCTCCCCAGAGGGTAGGGTCATCTGGACGACGAGGGGCTCACGCCAAGGCTGCCGATTCGGCGCCTTGATTTTCAATATTGTGTATAGCGTGGCCCTGGGAGAACTTCGAGCAGCGCTTGACGAGCTCAACCTCACATTCGCTGAGGAGCGCGAGCCCAGCGGCCCACCATGGGCCCACCAGCCCGGCACCTTCCCCACGCACACTGTGCCAGTTGGGGAAGTCACGTACGTCGACGACAAGGCCATGTTGGTGGTAGGCGAGGACAGCACGAGCCTCAACCGCAACGTCGCCCCGGTAGCCGAAGCGGCGCACACCACCATGGCGAGGCACGGCATGCAGCTGAACTGGAAGCCTGGCCAGTCAGAGATCCTCATCATGTGGAGGGGTAAGGGCGCGCGGGCCGCCAAGGCAGAGGCGATGATCGGAGAGCGCCCTGCATTGGCCCTGCCTGGAGTCCCGAGCATCGAGCGTCTCGTGGCGAGCGAGTACAAGCACTTAGGATCCATGCAGTCTGGGGTCGCGTCCTCTGCCCTAGACATACGTGCAGGCCTGCGAAAAGCATCCGCGGTGTACCACAGCTTGGTGCGGAAGGTCTTCGCAGTGTAACACATGAGCGCGCAGCTCAGGCTGCGACTCTTCCAGGTCCCTCGTCCTATCAGCGCTGTTCTATAACTCTGAGCTGTGGACGCCTTCGCGCACGCACATACAATTGCTGCACAGATTTTATCTGCGTGCCGTGCGCAGGATCGCCCATGACAGCCGCTTCCCGACCCCTGCAAAGCCCCGCCTGAGCGATCTTACAAGTTTTCAAAAATTCCAGCTTCCCTCCATTGACAGTATACTCAGGCGGCACCGCCTGCTATACAGACCCAGCTTGATCTACAAGCACTTCCCTGCGCTGCAAGCCCTCCTCCTGCACCACTCGGCCTCTCCCTCCCCGTCGTCTCAACGAATTCTCGTCGACTTCGAGGCGATTCCCAGGCTCGCGCCGCCGCCAGTCTGGCGCGACCTAGATGCGTTAGGGGACACAAGCTCAGCAAAATGAGCAGCCGCATAGACAGAACTCATAGCCACCGACTGGTGGAAGTGGAAACGTCTCGCCCAAGACGTCACGCTAGGATCGGCGTCTTTTACCGACGACTGCACAGACCCTCTTACAGTTCCGTGCCCGGAGTGTGACAAACTTTTCAGTAGCAGCAAATCGGTACGCACAGGATGAAGGGTCACGGCCATCGGAAACCCGGGGCTACGACATGCCCTGCCTGCTCAAAAGTTTTCAGGACCACCCGGCAACTGTTAGACCATGCGCACTACAGAGCTCGCAACTGCCGAGATGCGATTCTCGTAGTCTGATGTGTCATTCCGTTATTTGCGTCTTGCCGCACGACTCAAGTACATGGCTTCTGCCTGCCTCATCCACAACAACCACAACGACAACGACAACGATAACGACAACAACAACCAACCAACCACAACAACAATAACAACAGCAACAACAACCACGACAACAAACTCCAACAACAACAAGACGACAACAACAGCAACGATAACAGCAACAACAACCACAACAACAACGACAGCAACAACGACAACAACAACAACAACAACGACAACAACAACAATAACAATAACAACAACCGCAACAACAATAACAACAACTACACTTACAGCAACAACAACACCAACAGCAACAACGACAGCAACAGCAACCACAACAACAACAGCAACAACAGCAACACAGACACCAACACCAACACCAACTACAACAACAGCAACAGCAAGAGCAACAGCAACAACCACAACAACGACAACAATAACAACAACAGGATCGTCATCATCCACATCGCCATCATCATCCTCATCCTCATCCTCATCCTCACCATCGTCGTCCTCACCCTCCTCCTCCTCCTCATCATCAGCGTCATCATCATCATCATCATCATCATCATCACCAATCAGCAGCATCATCCTCATCCTCATCATCCTCATCAGCATCAGCATCAGAATCCTCATCGTAATCATCATCATCATCATCCTCATCCTCATCCTCATCATCATCATCATCAGCAGCAGCAGCATCAGCATCCTCATCATCATCCTCCTCCTCATCATCATCATCATCCTCATCATCATCATCATCCTCATCCTCATCCTCATCCTCATCATCATCATCATCATCATCATCATCATCATCATCATCATCATCATCAGCAGCAGCAGCAGCAGCAGCAGCAGCAGCATCTCCCTCCTCCTCCCCTCCCTCCTCCCCTCCTCTTGCAGCCCCTCCTCCAGACTGGGGCGGTGCACAAAGGCCCTCGGCCGAGCGCCGCGCCGGGGCCCCCTCCGCGCCTGCGCCCGCGCCGCTCTGCCCGCTGCGCGCGGAGCCCGCGGACGACGCTGGCCCTCGCCACTCGCCCCTTGTTCGGGGGGGCCCGAAAGAGCAGGCGAGGGAGGGGGAGGGAGGGAGGGACGGAGGGAGAGGGAGGGAGCGAGGGAGGCGAGAGGAGGGAAGGAGAGAGGAGGAGGCGGGAGGCGAGGCGGGGGAGGAGGAGGCAGGAGGCAGGAGGAGCGGGAGGGGGCAGGAGGAAGGACCCAGCGTTGCGGTTGCGTCAGCTGTGTCTGCGTCGGAGGTCCTGACCGTTCATCATGGGCGAGGCTACAACTCGGAATCGGGGGCTCGGGGGTCTCGAGGAGGCAGGACGGAGGAGGAAAAGGGGTGGGAGGGAGGGGGGGGGGGAGGAGGGAAGGAGGGAGGCAGGCAGACAAACAGGGGGAAGAGGAAGAGGGGGAGGAGTGGGGGGAGGATTGCGTGTGGGGGGGGGGCGTTGCTCTCTTGATACGTTTTCGGCATCATCGGGCCCAAACTCGGCCCCGAAGCGACTCCAAAACGTCTTCCGTCTGCTGCTCTTTCTGACCCCCGACCTCTGCTCCCTCCGCCCCAGCATCGGCATCGCGGCCCTGGCAGCGCGGTTGTGCAAAGGGTGGGGGGCCAAGCCCAAGGCTCGAGAATACACGCTGGAGAGGGGGGGCGGCGGGAAGACAAGGAGAACCAGGAGGAGGCGGAGATGGAGAAGGCGGAGGAGGGGACGAAGATGATAGGAAAGAG